ACATACACCTCCATGGTTCTTTTCTTTGTCATCCCATTGCTTGGCGTTTTTTTCCCCAGTGTCTTTTATCTTGTGAGTAAAGTTTGAACAGTACGCAGAAAGTTAACTGCCTGGAGTCTTTTAAATATAAGTAACACGCACCCAGTAATAAGCTGTCGGTTGTTTTTTTTTTGCTGCCTGCAAAGAAACATAAACACAGCGCTCATTTCTGGCAGGTTTTTACTGTCAGAGTTTCTCCTATTATATTTATCTTACAATTTGCCAGGGGGTGAAGTTATTAAGTTTTAGCAGCAGCCATCGATCAAGTTCACAAGTTAACACGATAAAGGCTCTGTGCCGCTCCGATCCGGGAAAATGATGATCCTCACTCGGTAATTAACTAAATGAGAAAGTTAAATCTTACTTGAGAGCTGGGAGAGATGAAAGAGAGGTGTTTGTCAGTTTCTCAGTGGAAATTAGAAGCAGTTTTCTGCAATTCCCTAAGCTGCTGCTCTGTCATATTTTACATAAGCACTGGGAAAACGTCTTGTAATTAGTGCTGTCATGGAGGATTTTTTTTGCTGAAGGATGTTGGAATAATTCATTAGATTATCAAGAAAGGCTTGTGTCCTGAAATGATTAGCACAGTGAAATTTAAACCATTAACGATAACAAGTTTAGAGCTTGCTGCAGTGCAGAGGCACCCGGGGTATGTCTGTGCCTATTTCAATCATTTCTTATAATTAAACATTATGTCCTCTTTTTTCCTCCCCTTCACTAAGACCCATCCAAAATTGCTGTTAAGGTGGCTCTGTCTAGATCAGTCTTAACCACGACTGGTGATACAAGCTGGAGGTGAAATGCTGTCGCTGCAGATAAGCAATAGAAGCCATTTCTCTGTGTCAGAGTCTATAGTCCCAGTGAGTCCAGAAAGGAGGGGAGAAGCCCACTATGACCTGTGGGTACTGGAACATCAAAGGGAAGTCCCTTCTTCTTGTACAGAGAGAAACAGAAATTTGCAGTGGTGGTCTAAGCTCTCAGTCTTTTCAGAGCTCCAGCATGAAGATGTCTTGAAGGTTCAGAAGGTCCCAAGCCTTGCTGAGATCATTTAAGCCACCCTCTGTTCTAGAACACAGCTTCTCTTTGACTTTGGGAGATGTCTTCTTAGCCATAAGAAACATATGATGCAAATTCATCCACCCTGTGTAAAGTGCCTTAACAAAGTCCTCTCCGATGATTAGAGGACCTGGTATTGATTTTTAAGAATATATAATAGTTGTGACTGCTCATATGGGTGAGGAAATACTATACCTGTGCTAGAATCAGAGAACTGTGCTTATGTTTGGGGTTTTTTTTCCTGTGCTTTAGGGGGCTGCTTGGTCCCCTGTACTGAACAACAACAAAAGTAACCTTGGTTGTCATATATGGGTTACAGCTGTGATATACTGTGGCTGTTTTGTTTTATATGCAGAACAGTAGATTTATCCAGGCTTTATTTATCTGTGTTGAAATATCGCACCATCCTATAGTTCCAAGCCATTATTTAGATTAAAGTCCTCTCGTATATTAGTCCTCTTCTACTTCACTGGGCATACAAATGTGCTTTGTGTTAAATGTAGCCATTTGGAGAAATGGTCTTGTAATTATGGGCTGCAATGGAGCATAGAACGTTAGATCCCTGAGCTAGTACCAACCTGAGGCACTCAATCCCCTGGGTTTCCTGGCACAGTGTACTAGCTCTGGCACACTGTGGCAGGAGGACACCTCTACTGTTCTTGCAGTTTTGCCTAGAGCCAGCTGGGACACCACAAAGCCTCACAGAGGTCTGTGAAAAGGGAATCAGAGTTCTGAGTTGCTCATTTGGTCTGTTATACCCAGACTTCCTCCCAGGTGATGGACAGCTAATGCTTATTCTGTGTGGATTTTGGAAGCATGTGGGACAGTTCTTTCGTTTTGAAGCGAGCCCTTGTTATTGTACTAGGAGAGGGAAGAGGCCACAGCCAATGATGTGTTCCAGGAAATAGTTGCTGTTATTGTTCTGAGGTCGTTCGTTGTGAACTTGAGGCAGTTGATCAGAACGGTTGAGTCATCAGGAAGCCAAATTGATTCTCTTACTGATAGTAACCACCCTCCCCCCAACGCTTTAATAATACAGATGCTTGATGTTGTTGTTTTGTTGTTGCTTTTTTAATAACGGGCCTTTTTCACTGAACCCCCAGTGGATTTTCAGGAATTGCCAAACTGAAATTCTGGAATTCTGTTCTAAACTGTAGCAGCAGGTGGTCTTCAGGGGCATGTGAGCACATATGGCGATGGAGTGATTTGGGAGCCCTGTGAGTTCATCTGTCTGTGCTCCACAGAGCTGGTGTGTTCGCAGCTTGCCCTGTCCTAGTTCCCTGCCTGCGTAGACCACAAGACCTGACCACAGGACCTGCGGGGCACACCGTGGCTACCTCTGGGCTTGTCCTTGCTCCTTTTAATAGGAAACCAGAGCAGGCAAGGGTGCAAACGGGGTCTCAAGTTGACATTGTCAGAATGTGGATGAATTGTGTGCATTAACCTAAAAGTTCCCCTGTCCACTAATTTGAACATAAATGCTATAACACATATAGTGCTTTTCTTAGCAGAGCCACTAAATAAACCTGGAGTTTGACTTCAAAAGCTGTGACAAGTGCTGGTCAATGGACTCTTCAATTTATTCTTTATTCCTGCCCAAGAGACCTGTATTTAGTTGCGATCCAGGCAGAATGGATTTTGTCCCATCTAAGTACACACATAAGCCATTACTTGTTTTTGCAGATACTGCAACTTCTGTTTGATACCCCAAAGTGATATTTTTGAGGAAACTGGGGAGCTGAAGGCTGCTGGGAGAGGGGTGCTCAGGAGGCAAGGAAAGGCCAAAGCGTGGTGCCAGTGTTTGAAGGGAGTTGTCCCTTTTGTGGTCTTTGCATGTCAGCTGTCAGCTCCACTCCAGCTCACCATTATCGGTCAGGCTTTACAGTCTCTCAAATTAAAAGGCAGAGGTATAGGTTTTCAAAAAATGCTTTGTAATGACAGCCTGTTCTGAGATGCACAGCAAGCAAAATGAGAAATGAAATGAGATCAAGCTTGTATACTCCGTTTCTCCACTGTCTTAATCCAGCATTTTTACAGGGTTGTCTGGTTTGCAGGCAGCTTAGCTGCAGCAAAATGACCGGAATCCCTTATGACCAATGTTAAGTGTAGTCCATTGGTAATCATTTTTTGCCAGGCTGTTGCCTACTATGGACTTTGCTAGGAAAAGTTCAGCCTTTCACACATAGGGCTTCATGCTGAAGTCCCTCGTTGGCCCAAGAGAGCCTTTCTTTCCCACTACCCAGTAGTGTCTCTGTGACTTGCAGTCAGTGCTGTCCATGTGATGATTAGAGGAAAGTGTAGCTCAGTCATAACCCTTGACTTGCATGATCTTACTGAACGCACACAGAAATTCACAGGGAGGAGTGGGGATAAAAGTAAAGTTGAAAACATTGAGCTACAGAATTGAGCAGTGATGGTGTGATCTCCGTGTTCTATGTTTTCAAAGAAACTTTAGTAAAACCGTAATTCCGAAATAGAAGAAACTGCTTGTTAAAAATTGCAGCTAATTGTTGCCCTTTTTACCAGAGGAAAATTTCCAGCCTCTGAAAATGCTGAAAAGAGTGTTTAGTTGGATTTTCTCTAGAAAATGAAATGTGCATTGTGATTAGTTGAGTAGATTTTCAAATTATGAGCTTTTTGGCATTCCAGACCAAGGATTGCTGTCGGGGTTGTGTGGGGTATTCAAATGTAGGAATTATTTATTCCTGAGAAATGAGAAATTCCTGCATTCCAACCACAGTTTTGGTAACTAGATTTTGTGGTCTCTAAATAACCTGCTGTTTTGGCACTTGCTGAAAAACAGGATTTTTGTTGTTTTTTCTTTTCTGTAAAATCAGTTAATCCATGCATTCTTTCTACGTCATTAGATAGACTTGCAGAGACATTTAGGTACTTGTTTTTTCCCTAAAAGTTACTGGAAATCTTCTGGCGAGGTTTATGACTGGAATTACCATCGTAGAACAGATATGTTTTGTACATTCTAATATCTGTAATTCGATTTTAATTATTTGATAATTAATAGAGAACCTCTAAGTGTATTTTGTAAATAAAACCCATGTAATAATATTGACTGTTACGATAGTGCTGTCTGCTGTTAAACCACTGCAATGAAAGAGACAAAATCACACGTTTTCAGCATTTAATACAAACTATTTGAAGAGTACGAGGAAAAGTGATTTCCCAGCAAACAGTTAATCTTACTTGGACAAAGGATACCCTTGCAATGCAAAATGTGCACTTTTCTGCCAGTTAAATTGTTTAGAAAGCAGAAATTATATCTTGCTATTGAGTGGTAAATTGAAATGTCAGTGTTTTGTTTTCTCCCTGAAAATCTTCTTTGAGCTGAGTCCTTCTGACAAGGTATTAACAGTGCTCAGAAAGTTGAAAATCTTCTGTTCTGTGAAAGAAGTATGTACCAAATACCAGGGTGGGGTTTAGCTGGCTTTGCTCTGAAGGTATAATTTTATACTCAAAAGAAATACTTTTTTTTTCTCACCCATTTCATGCATTCCCTATGAATTTTAGCAGCATTCTGTTCTTTAGAAAAAAAAGAATACAAACACAGTCTTGGTGCATTGAAGTAACTGGTAATTGTAGATTAGAAATCCAAATGCATTTTACTGTCTGCACAATGTAAATAAAATTGTGTTTATGTTAAATTGCCACTCAAGGTTTCCCCTCTAACCAGAGTCCCTTGAGTGCAGCCTGTGCATCGTCCTGCACGGCTACAGCTCATACTAGCTGCACTTCGACTGACAGCACCAAATGGGATATGTGGTCTTAGCCAACTTCATGTATCAGAGTGCTTTTTTCTTTCTATTTTCTTCTCCCTAAGAAATTAGAAAACCACTTGAGCTGCTTTTCATATGTGTGATTTGGGTTGTTTCTCTCCTTCCTGTTTACAGACAAAACTTGCCAATGGCACTTCCAGTATGATCGTGCCCAAGCAAAGAAAACTGTCTGCAAGCTATGAGAAGGAGAAGGAACTCTGCGTCAAGTATTTTGAACAGTGGTCCGAGTCTGACCAAGTGGAGTTTGTGGAGCACCTCATCTCCCAGATGTGTCACTACCAGCATGGACATATAAACTCATACCTCAAACCCATGCTACAGCGGGACTTCATCACTGCACTGCCAGGTATTTCTGCAGGCAGAGGGAGCTTGCTCCTCCATCTTCTCTTTCACAGAACTGGTCCATTCTGGCCTACCCTGCTGAAGAGGTCTGTTTAGGGTCAGTTTGCAAAAATAGAATCATAGAATAGTTAGGGTTGGAAGGGACCTTAAGGTCATCAAGTTCCAACCCCCCTGCCATGGGCAGGGACACCTTGCTCTAAACCATATCACCCAAGGCCTCGTCCAGCCTGGCCTTGAACACTGCCAGGGAAAATAGGAGGTAGCTTTTGAATGAAAAGCTCTGTACCAGTATGAAATGTAATAATATTTTGTATCCCTACCATCTTAAAAGGTGTGATCTAACACCACCATGGTTTGGCTGGGAGTAAATGATAGGTCATACATTTATTTTAAGGATAGTCATTGAAGCCGCAGGGCAGGTAGTTGTACTCATGCTGACAACAGTGCACAAATAACGACATTTGTTTAAAATTAAAACTGCCACTCTTTCTTAGCTGAGGTTTTCCCCTTTGTTACTTAGATTTTTGTCTCTCTTTAATAGTAGAATACCTTCTTGAAGCCATCACTTTGATTGTGTGTTTATTGCTAATAGAGAATGGAAGGCATAAGATTAAAAGGTGGAAATGTTCTATTTTTTGTACTTTTGTAGTGCTTTCCTTTAAGAACAGTATCCCACCTGTTCGCAGGTGTGGCATTGGGTGTATCTCACAGAATGCAAACATAAAGTAGTGTATGTGTAGATTTGTATTGGCTGTGTCTGATAGCTGGGAAGATTGGGACAGTGGGAGATAAAATGCATAAAGCAATAAGTTTCAGAACCAGACAGAAGTTCCTTATTCTTTGGTCTTTTTTTTTCCCCAGACCATTATATTGTACCTCTGTTAGATGGGTAATTAATAGGTCAGCATTAGTTTGAATTGGACCTGCGCAAAAAGTGCTATAGGTTCCCTTAGTAGCTAGCTGAGGAGGAGTTTCTTGCCAAAAGCTTGTTCTGTGAATACATTTGGAAAACTGCTTAATTTCAACAATCTGTTCAGTCCAGTTATTTGATCATTCTTCAAGAAGGGATTTTTCAACAGTAAGTCCTAGGGTTAAAGGACGGAAAAAAGCATGTTTAGCTGTGAATTGATACAAAGCATAAAGGCACCGCAGGAGTTTTGCTGTGAGGTTAAATACATAGACTCACTGGGTTTTTAAGCTCATTGTGCCCAGTAATCAAATGGCTGTTCTGGCATTAAAAAAAATCTTAGTTATGCTAAGTACCTGCTTTATGTTAGTTTTTAGTAGTCCAATGGCAATAATCTTATGTACTTAGAGCAGCATTATAACTTGTGGAGTTGTTCTGTTTCAGAAAAATAGAGAGTATTTTGAAAGTGCAGTGATTTCCCCACTTTTAAAGTGCAAGCATGCATATAGTTACATGCACAGTTTTTCCAGGTCTTTCTTCACAAAACTCCATCAAAACAAGCCAACACATTAATTTGTGCTTGCTTAATTTCATCCTACAGGCCTTGTTCTGAAAAACATAGGCAAAGGTAAATATTTTCAGAGGCATTCAAAATTTCTGTATTTGTAGCCATACTGTATTTGTTAGTAGTGTGTTCACACTTACCCAGGAAGCAGCTAATTTTACTATCTCAGAATGCAGAACAGACAGGAATCAGGCAGCTAATATGTGAGTATTTGAATAGCTGTGGGAACTGTGTGCTTAAATAATGTATGTGCATCAATTTGCATATTTGAAAGTGCTAATGTCCTAGTGAATATAGCTCTAAGGGAGAAAATTAATGGGAAGGAATTACACTGATGCAGACTCTGCAGTCTGCGCAGGATGTCCTGAGTACAAGCTGGTTTCTAATGAGGGGAATGGGAAAGGGAAAGGTAAGAAATGGCCTAAGAAAGAGTGATGAACCTAAAATTTTAAATGAAGTGACATAATAAAAAAAACCTAGACTCTTTAAGTATTTTTTTTCAGCTTTCTGAAATTCTCAAGTGTTCAGTATTCTGGTTTCATTTTTATTCCTTCATTCTCTTTCCTGCTCTCCCCCTTGAGTGAATAAAACAATAAAGCTACTTCAAAATCATGAGGCATCTTATCTCTGTCCTCCTAGCACTGTCCCAAAGAATGACCAGAATTAAAGGTAGTTTTCGATCACGAGCACATTTTACTAATACAAAATAAAATTGACTCAGATTATCTTCTCAGTACTTTGAGCAGAATTAAGGTGGTTTGAAAAATACAGCTTAACTGCAGACTTCACAAACTTTGTTCCATTTATGAAAAATAAGGTCTCTGGTTAGCATTTCCAAGCTGTTTAACATTTTTTATGAGGAAAGTCATTTTTATAGGGGTTTCATGTGTGAAATAACTGAAACATCCTTGTTGGTATGGAGGACTGAAGGGCTAATCGTGTTTCACATTGATTTAGCAAAAACTTCTGTGGGCAGAGATTTCCCTTTTTTAAGGAAGCAGTGCTTTGTTAGATGTGTGTCTCGGTGAGTTGTGCTCTTCCTTAGAAACAAAATAGTAAAATTGAGTTTGCAACCAGGCCAAAGTAGCTCTGCCTATCCATTTATAAATGTGAGGAGGAGAGGCCAAAACATTAGTTTTCATTCTCTGCAAAGGGTCTTGCATCAGTGGCAAGGGATTATTTATGGTCATGAAAGTAGTTGCCACACCTCATTGCAGTAAAATCTAAAGAGCAACTGCTGATGATCCAGGAAAGGCAGGTGAGTCAGAGGCACACTTATGGATGAAGATACTGTGTACAGTTCCAGCAGTGTAGCCCTGCTTCCTAAAGCACAGGTTGGTCCCTGTATAAAACAGTTCCTTGCTGTGATGTTGCTGACATAAAGCCACCAGTACACATACTACACACACAGGCATTTTTAAGTGCCCTGTTGTGTCTATAAATGTCTGTGGGCCCACTGGAAGCAACACAGACCGGGGGAACAAATATGCCATTTGCACCCAGTGGAGAGAGCTCAGGGCTGCAGGTGTCAGAGTGGGGAAGCTGGGGGGATACAACATCCATGGCTGCCCTACAGAATTGTGGAATTCCTGCAAATTCCAGTTACCATTCACAAAAACTTTGTGTATCTCTTTCCACGAATTACTGTAGAGCCAATCTAAATTTACAAAGACTTTTCCTTTTTTTAAAGAGTTTTATGTAGTGGCTGTATATATCTTTTCAGATTAAATGCGTAATAAAGGCTGCTGATGCTTTTATTTTGCAGGTTGACATCTAATTTTGCATCTATAAAGATAAGAAATGTCAGACCTCTTTCTGCACTCTGTGGTTGTGCATGGTATCGTTCACATCTTTTTCTCCTCATGAATGGAAGCATAAAACGCTGGGCAGAATGTCTAACCCAAAGTGTATTATAGATTTAGGATGTTTGAGAGGAGCAAGAGGGGGCATGCTGAATTTTCTCATTTTCATGCACTGGAAGGTGATTTTGAGATCTTTCAGTTACCATCAACAAAGGTTGAGTCTTCTGTGTTTCATAAACTCTAATCAGAATCAGCTGATTGCACCCAATTTGGGTTTGCAGAAGTATGGCCATATGACTGTAAAAATGCACTTGCTGCTTTTTCTTTCCATGTCACAAGCAGGGCCTGGTCTTTGAGGCTGTTGTTTTGAAAACAAGAAAAGACTTCTTTAACTCTGTCCTAAATGTGAATCAGAGGGAAGATGCATGTAATGCCAATCTGCCATGCTTCCTTTTTGGTTGGTCTGGACATTATGCCTGAGGGATGATGAGGTCTAAGCTACAGCTTTTACAAAGCCTCTGAAATTTGACCTGTGAAGTGAGGTCATCTCTTGATGACGTGTATCACTCGTGACTTACACAGCCTCCAAGAGAAGCTGTGTTTATGCAACATTTCATTTAAAAGCCATTTTATTTTCCTGAAGTCTTGCTTGTGATTAAATTTGAGTGGATGAGAGCACATTTTTACTGGATCCATGCATCCAGTTAAGAAACATAGGATATTTTTTCCCTGTCCCCCAGCTTCGCAGACGTTACATTGGGCTGGTTGGTTCTAACCAGGCAATTGCTTTACGTTTCACTCCAGCCATGTTGAAACAAAGCCAGTCCTGGAATTCACACCAGAAAATTATACCATTTTGGTGCATATTTTCCCTTCACCAACTAAAGCAAATGAATCTGATAAACCTGCTTCACTTTCTCCTTACACAGCCTCTCCTTCTCTCTCGACTTCCCTGTGCATCTGCATATCTCTCCCTCCCCCATGTCTAAAGGTACCACTACCCTTCAGGGCACACATTGGGAATATATATTTTTTTCTTCATTACGTTTAAAAGCTACTGCTTTAGCAAAAACAGCTTTTGAGCCGTTGCAACATGAGAACAGCTGTAGCAGTGAGATGAGAAATGGTCCTAATATAGAGAGATTTTGGGGGCTGCGTTGCTGAGTTGGAAATGCCATCCATAGAATATCCCCCTAGTGCTAAAACCCATCGAAATAGATTGGAATGACTTCTTGGATTCTTTATTATTTTTAATGACTTGTTATGTTATATCCAAAGGAAGTTGGAGAACGCTGTTCACTCCTGAACTTAGCTGCAAATGCTCTTGTGTGCATTTAGTCCAGCTCCACATGCAGAAGAGGAGATGGAAAGAGAGGGTATCTTTGTACTAGCAAGGGGGGTGGTTTTAAACTCCATGTCTCCCCAGCAAATAATATTATTCTTTATTTTTTTTTTCTCCCCCAGCTCGGGGATTGGATCACATTGCTGAGAACATTCTGTCATACCTGGATGCCAAATCATTGTGTGCTGCTGAGCTGGTGTGCAAAGAGTGGTACCGGGTGACGTCGGATGGGATGCTGTGGAAGAAGCTCATTGAGAGAATGGTCCGGACAGACTCCCTGTGGAGGGGCTTGTCAGAGAGGAGAGGATGGTGAGAAAACTGCATCTTCTCCTCCTTTGCCCCCATTCAGGACAGTAGGTGCTGTGTTTCAAACCATGTTTGAAGTTATTTAGCACCCTGAAACATCATGTTGGTTCCAAACCTGACAGTTACTTAAATCAAAATTTGGGGGTTAGGTCATCATAATTTCTATGCAGGCAATGTGGGGGCTTTTTCCTCACTCTCCTCACCTGATCACGCTCTTCTCCCACTGTGACAAGTGTGATATACAGACTGAGGTTTTTACACCCAGCTGTCATTTGGTTCAAATTAAGATGCTGTGTACACCCCAGGGGAACAGTAAACTGGTCAGCAGTTCAGAGCAGAAGAGCTTTTTTAGGGGTGGCAGTGGTGCAGCATGTGCTATGAATTAGTTGTTTCCTGATAGGTCTGTTTGTTTTCCTCAGCAGATTTTCACTATTAGATATCTGTTTAATTTTCAAACTGGAAGCTGAGGGTAGGTACCATGGAGAATAGGGGACTTTAGAAATGCAGATAGATTAGTTAATAATCATCTGGAATAGCCTTACTACAATGTGGGTCTCACTCAAGTTTGAAGCTGCTCTGTTAACATTTCATTAGAACTTTCCCTCTCAGGGGTACGTCCTTTAATACATAATTTTCTTTTCCAAGGGTGTCCCTAGGATGTTGGCAGAAAGGAAGCTGGGTATGAATATTTCATAAACAAGATAAAAGTGACAGCTCAGGCATTTTGGTTGCTATTAAAAAGAAAAAGATACAGAGTTGCAAACAAAAGGCTCCTTTTTTATGGTTAATTTTGTTATACTGTTTGTCTCAGGCAATAAAGGCAAGTAAATCAGGATTATGAAACGTCCTTTAAAAATAAATACTATTTTGATCTGCTTCCAATAGTGTAACATTTATAAAGAGTGTAAAATGAACACAAGCATGGCAGTGGTAACTTCTGCATTCCTTTTAGTACCTTGTTCTCTCCAGGTTGAGATCACACTAAGTCTGAAGAGGACCTTGAGAGGTTCTTTAGTTTCTCCTGTTTCCCAGAGGCAGAGCCAGGTTTCTCCTAAGTCATCCCAGATATTTGTCTAACTTGTTCTTAAGAACCTTCACTGATGGAGTTTCCTCAAGCCTTACTGGGGCAAGGAATTCCACTGTTTGACTGAATTTGGTGTTAGAAAGGTTTTCTGTAAATCTAGGCTGTATTCCTAGCTACAGTTTGGCATATTGTATTTAGCCTATGCAAACAGGGCAGTTTCTCATTCTCCTTTTGGCAGTAATCATTTCCATGTTGGAAGATGATCATGTTTCCTAGATTGTGGATGCCCTGACCAGCTGTAACCCTGTGTTGCCTCGTCCTCTTGCCATTCTTGGTTTTCTCAGTTCAGACCCTCCCCAGTTACTCTACTCATTGGTGGATGGTGTCTTCTGCCAAAGTATCACCAGAGTTTGATGGTGTGAGAAGCATTGCTTTGCTTGTCTTATGGAGAATATTCCATTTTATGCTTTCCAGTGGAACATGTACTTTTTATTTCTTAACAGTGAAATAATACTGTTATAAAATCAGTTACCCTTTCTGTGGCAGTTCTACTTAGCCATTATTCCTCATCTTGCATGCTTATGTTGTTCCTCAGTGGTGAACTTGGCACTTGTCCTCATTGAATTAGATTCTGTTTATTGTTTGGTATATCTCCATTTTGTCAGGAGCATTATGAAATCAATCTTGTCCTCCAAAGTGCTTGTAGCTTCTCCCAGCTTTAATATCATTGGCCAGGTAATAAATGCATTCCCTCTTCTATACTTTGTCTTTAATGAAGATGTTCAGTAATGACACGTCTAGAACAGACTCCATGCAAGGTCCCAGTTGCCATTCTGTTAACAGCGCACATTCAGTAAACCGTGCTTTCCAGCCGTTTGTGTGTCCATCTTTGAGCTTCTCCAGAGATCATGCTTCTCTTGCTAAGTCATGAGAATAGCCTGTGAGAAGAGATTAGGTCAGGTCACAATTTGATATGGTGTATTCTGGATTGATTGGTATTACATGTTGCTTATCACCTGGTTGTCTGATTGACAGTGTGTTCTAGAACTGCTAAGAAGTCAAAGTTGAGTTGCATGGTCCCTCAAGATTTTAAAAATAACATTATCACAACTACTAGTACAGACATATGATGTTTCTAAAAGACAGTTGAACAGTTCTGCTTCTCATCTCAAAGGACAGTCACGCCCTATTACCGCTCCTCTTCTTCAGGTTTACACTGTGTCCTGGAGGTTGCTTTCACAGAACAGGAGCAAGCTGTGCTCTGTTTTTCAGATTACCCTATGATAGGCTCTAAAAGATGTAACTCCAAGCATGGTGTGGTGTTCAAGAGAAGCAGACAAGAAATATCCAGTATAATTGTATCTCTGTCACATAGAGCTTTATAGCTTGTAATCAATGCTAACACTGTGCATAGCACTGGGAGCTGACTAACTGGACAGTTCAGAATGATAGATGACTGGTCTTACTTGCTTACAGCTTCTCACTTTGCACACGGGCTGCCTGATTTCAGTATTTGCAGCTTGTGGCTTACAACAGAAACCCAATTCTGCAGCATGGTGCCCTTCACTGACAGCTTGTCAGGGAGCAGTAAGGGTTACACAGATTTAGAGAAATATACAACAGAAGTCCAAAATCTGGGCATGGTTGTGTCCATCTGAATACCTGATTGAACTGGCCAGTCATCAAAACCTGCGAACAATAGTTCCTTTTATCCCAGAGCCATAGTGCAATGGCCACTGGGATGCCATGGAAATTCCAAGCAATCTTTTAGCTGTACTGTAAACAAATGACTCTACAGGTTGTAAGGCAGGGCTTATAGATGGCAACAAGACCTTGTATTAGATTAGCTAGTAAAGCTGAAAACAGTAGACAGGTTTCCAGGCACATAAGCTTGTATACATACTGTTGTAGACCAAGTCAAGTCTTCCAGGATGTATCTTGGGTGTTTTGTATATCTCCAAAGCGTTTTTTATCTCCCTGGACCAATAAGTTCCAGACTGGATCACAGTAAAAAGGCAACCACCTAATTAGTGTTAGGCCCCATATGTGTGGCAGCTGATCACTGTGTTTGAAGACTCAGGTGACTACTCTGTCCAAAGTGGAAAGCACCATTCTCTCAAGTCATACTTAAGATACTTTATGTAAAGAATTATCAAAAGTTCTTTTCTTGAGCATTTGTTTTTTAATTTATTCAGTCCTATAGTTTGCAACTGCATTATAACAGAAAATATGTGGTTCATTGTTGTGATTTCCCCAGTTCAAGTACACCAGGGCAGCTAATGTACAGTGTCTCAATGAGTTTTGAGGTCTACTGTATGGAAAGGACAAGAAAGAAATGCACAAAGAAGTACTGAACAATTAATTATGCCATAATGGAGTAAGGGAGGGAGAAGTGGAGAGCTGGCCCAGTGTAAACTCTGTGCCTCTGATGCCAGGATTACACTCAGAGGCATTTGTGCCTCTCTCCATTTTGTGAGGCATGTTGCCAGGCAGAACAGCAGTTAGTACGCCCATGGTGGGGTTTACTAGCTTCCACACCGTGTTTGGTGGCTTCTTAACTTCAGGATGAGGAATTAAAGTTTTTTACACAGCAGGTAGTGATTGCCGTTTACAGGATTTTTTTGGTAGCAAAAATCTAGCTTGGGATATGAGTATTCCAAATCAGTGTTGAAATGAGGGAAGCACTGCAGATGAAGTGTTGCTTACCAAAATGTAGTAGAGAAGCAGTAAAATGTCCGTGTACCAAAACTGATACTGTTCCTGCTAATGCAGACAAAAGCTGTAAATGCATGGTGAGTATGAGGATTCCTTGGCTTCCTTCGTGTTCTTTGTTTTAAAGGTGACCTCTGATATAGGTGTGTGTATTGCAGGCATGAGCTGTTCTCACCTCCTATTGAGTTGAATGGGCTCATGTCCATAATAAATAATATATTTCCCTTCCCTGTGTGACTAGGCTCAGATTTTTCATGAGTATTTCAATGTCAGAATGCAACACTGACATGTTACAGGGCAAACAAGCAATGAACCACCCCATCTGACTGAGTAAATTACATTTGAATATCAGTCTGTCTGTGCTCTTAAACAGTGGCTACCCATTTGTAAAATGCCAAGAGGACCTTTCTCCAAGATACTGAAACATGATCTATGTTCACTGGGGGATGTTCTTTGTCTTCCAGGGGACAATATCTATTTAAAAATAAACCTCCTGATGGGACTGCACCACCCAACTCATTCTACAGAGCACTTTACCCCAAAATTATACAGGACATAGAGGTAAGAAACAGCTTCCAGATGTGGTGTTTGGTTGGATTTTTAATTTATTTTTAAATCTCACTGATTTATTCATGATGCAGAAATTCTGAGATCATGCCATTCTAATGAAATACCTCATTAAATCTGTTGTGCCTTTGTCTGGAGTTTGTAGATCTGGGATAGCTATATGAAGTCCCAGGCTTCAGCACTCCGTTATACAGGGGATGAGTTGAATTGTTGAGTGAGCTGTTTGCAGAGGGGGTTTCTACCCCTTGCAGGTCATATGCCACAGCAGCACCATGCCATCTTGATTTTCTCTGTTCCACAGTACTTTGCTCCAGCTGATGCGGATGAGACCTACTAAGATGTTGCAGGGAGAAATTGAGCATGGTTGCCTTATATCTAGTGTGAGCAAAATGCCGTGTTCTGGTACTTTCCTAATGGCAAGAGCATGCTCAGGTGCTGTTGTGACAAATTTGTACAAGTGCTTAGCTAAGAGCTCAACTGAGACTTTCTTTTCAGTTGTTTAGCTGTTGAGTCACTGGGGGTTAAAGATTGAAGACAGAAAAAAGCTTTTAGGTCACTTCTCTCTCACCATTCCAGATAACACAGATGAGTTTAGCCACAATATGTTTTCTAGGCTTTTGTCCATTTAATTGGTTCTCTTATATGTGTTGGAAAGAAGTTTAGAAAGTAGTTATGTCATTATATGGGCCTGACTGCAGAAAAAAAGGTAAAGAAAAGTATCTACTGTCTTCTCAAACAAACAGAAAAAGAGGTGATAGTTCCATGCTTTATTTTTACTCTCTTTTCTGTCTCTCAAGACAATAGAGTCAAACTGGCGTTGTGGAAGGCACAGTTTACAGAGGATCCACTGCCGAAGCGAGACAAGCAAAGGGGTTTATTGTTTACAGTATGATGATCAGAAGATAGTAAGTGGCCTACGAGACAATACTATCAAGGTGAGAATGCTCAAGAATGTAGTGCCTATGCCATAAATAATAGTGTCCTAATTTCAGGACATCTGCCCAATCTCTTGTTAGTAACCTATCCTTCTTCTTCCCTTACCTCATACCTGCAGAGCATGTTATGCCTCTTTTATCTGGCAAGAGAAACCCTGTTTTCTTACAGACAGACTTCGCTAGCAGAGTTTTTGCCCATCATTAGTTACAGCCTATGTAATTACTGTGCCTCGTACCTTGATGAGAAGGGTGAAACCAATATTTGTAGTAAAGACGGTAATATCAAAGATGTTAACGTATTGCACCAAAGAGCCTTGTAGAAGACTCTACAGATGTCACTAAAGATGTTCTGTACTGCACTATGGATGATGTGTTGTAGTAAAAACTACACTAGTCAAACCAGTAAGTGCTGAAAGGTGAAAATCTTACTGAGCTGTCTGCTTTGGAATGTTTGCTGTCTCTTAGATCTGGGATAAGAATACATTGGAATGCAAGCGAATTCTCACTGGACATACGGGTTCTGTCCTGTGTCTCCAGTACGATGAACGGGTGATCATTACTGGATCTTCAGACTCAACAGTCAGGTGTGTGCTCATGATTTGGAGTTTTCTGTTTGCCTCTAAGATTTTAGCCTTGCAAGCTGCTGAAATAGTATTTTCTTAAATGCGTGCTCTTCAGTCAGTTCCATGAAGTAGTTCAGCATATGTGTTCAGGAGTGTACCGTGCCTTATTTATCAGATGTCCATGCAAATGGAAGTCAAGGAGAAATGAGAACCTAAGTAAAGGTCAGTCAAGGTCAAGATGAGTTAGGAAGGCTATCTGGCTTTTCACTAAGGTATTGCATGTTCTGATGCTCCCTAAGAATATTTTAACTTCTCCCAGAGAGTAACTTTTAAAAAGTTGAAGTTTTCAAAGCAAGTTTGAAGGTTTTGTCATTCATAGTCACTCAGTTTTAACAAAAGATGTATGAATAGATCTCCTGTGACTCTTAATTAAATTTAGCATGATGTTTGTTTTTGTTCAGTCGTTCTAACCTTGCTTTCCTTCCACTCTCCAACCAAAGGCTGCACACCTCAAGTCAGCACTTGTGGTGCATGTTGTGGAGATGTGACGTCCATTAGACATATTACAGAATCCCAGGGAGTCTAAGACATGTAGTATAAATGCAAGCACATGAGTTAATGAACTGCAATATGAACTTATATGTGGAAGAGCAGGTCTGTCCTCTCCATGTTGTTATACTATCTATTCTCTTCTTGTCAGAGTACAAACAGTGTCCATGAAGTGAAGTTGCAGACAACAAAAGGCTGTGTCAGTGGCCTTTTCTGAAGCTATTAGCTGAAAGCTCTTTATGGTTATCACTGTGCATGTGTGTAAACTACCACTGTTAAGCTAATAAAGATTACATTTAGTTCCTGACACGTGATGCATGTGATCTTGTGGTGCTGCTGGATTTTGGGGTCCTATCGTTGGCAGGAATCAAGAATTTCAGCAATTCTGCCTGCCTGGAGACAGTGTGGGAACTGCACTGTACTGAGCAGATCACAACGGAGAGGCTGATTTCTGTAACAAGCACTATCATCTTCCATGTCAGGCCAGGCAGGCCAAATTGCAGCCTGGCTACTTGCCCAGAAATACTTTGGTTTCCCACTGTATCTGTAAATGTTTGTGCAGAACCCAGAGGCACATAGGATCCATCACTTTTATCCTCGGGTCTCCTCAGGAAGAGGGGCTTCATTCAGTAGACAGTACAGATGGGCTCTTAATGCTTTTGAAATCTCAGGGATGCACTTGTCCAAAGAAGTCAGTAGGTCTCCAGCTCCTGTCTGCAAACTGCTCCTACGTTAACAGCTCAGGTCTTTATTCTGTCAAGTTTTCTTCTTTGGATTTTGTAATTGGAATGTACTGTTCATTCTCATTTATAGACCATAAGTTGATGCACTTCAGCCTCCATAAGTTATAAAATAAGACATTAGAAGTCTTTCTCACATCTTAGATTTTCTTACTGCTTGCCTTATTGGCAGAGAAAACTTCTGCAATGTCTGATGTCCCTGATGATACAGCCATTTTCTGCTCTCACATAGTATATGTGGGATACAGGTATGATAGTGCCAAAAGAAATCTTTATGGAAGGTGAAAGAAGTTTGCCAACAGAATAGCCCAAAAGAAACATTTTTAAGACTTAAGATCTTCATTTCAATTCCTAGAAGTTCTGTATGAAGCCTTTTCCTAATTTTCATCTTAAATTATCTTTCCACTGGAACAGTTGGTTCTAATAACATTAAGTTGACATAACTGCTCTGTCTTAATTTGAGTATTCAGCACATTCCTGGAATGTAGCTGTGTAGCAGATGCACTGCAGGGTAAATGCAGTTCATGGTGCAACTTGTGGCAATTACTTATATTTGTTTGAAAAGCATATTCTTATCTTCTGCTTCTCTGTAAATTTTGCCTTGAGTTGATAGTCCTGTGAAAGAGGTCAAAAATTAAACCTGTAACTGAGCTTGCTTCTCCACACATTATGACTAAGTAATCATTGACTGGAAATGGAGTTTGTTGTAGGCTTATACAACCAAGAAACATCAGTCTTGAAGGCCATCAATCTCACACCTTTCCTCAGCACTACATTCCCTTAATTAAAGAACACTTCTTTCCTGGCTGGTTTATTTTTATGGTGTTAATTGCATTGCAGGGGTTTTGGCTGCTGGCCTGTCTCAGTATATGCATAGTCAACAGGTTTATATAATACATCTTTTAATGAACTATTTAATAGATATAGATATAACTTGTGGTGTTATATTAGCTTCTCTAATATTGCTAGAGAGTCAATTACCTCTCTTTGTTCCTCTCTTGCTCTGCAGAAAATCCACTGTACAGTTTTTTAACTCTTCTCTCTGGTTTGAAATTTGGACCTGCAGGGTGTGGGACGTGAATGCAGGTGAGATGCTGAACACACTGATTCACCACTGCGAAGCAGTACTGCACCTCCGCTTCAATAACGGCATGATGGTGACATGTTCCAAAGACCGTTCCATTGCTGTGTGGGACATGGCTTCACCAACAGACATCACCCTGAGGAGGGTGCTAGTAGGGCACCGAGCAGCTGTCAACGTGGTGGACTTTGATGACAAGTACATTGTATCAGCATCAGGTGACAGAACTATAAAGGTGAGGTGTTTCAGAGGCTTTTTATTTGCAGCATTGGGGTATTTAATAACCGAGAACAGATGCCCAGAGAGGGAAGATAGTCCTTGGCAGTTAGTGCACAGATCTTCCTTTAGAAGCAGTATTCTTCCTCCTGCTTGTTTCCACTTGTCCCTCCTGTGTTGAGCTTGCACAACTTGTTTACAGAGCTGGATGGCAAATGAGGTCTAGCTACAGATGCAGTTGAAAAAGGACTTCTTTTTTTTTCTGTGTTCTTTTTCAACTTGACCACTTCCATGATCTGTTTCAGCATGTCACTCGAACAGTTGTCAGAGGGCAGCATGGGGGCAAAAGTAAAGGTGAGTGGATAGGAGTCTCTTAAATGTTACTGCTGTATCCAAATCTGCAGCCTTAAAACTGAGGAAAATCAAGATCCTGTGTAGACTAAATCATAGCCCAAGAATGCTAAAGCCTGATTTTGGAAGCTAATTCTTACATGGTGTGGCAAAAATCTCCTGTGTACAGTGACCCAAGATGCTAACAGTTGCAGAATATAATCAGAAGTCCCTGGAGCGGTAATCTTCCCACTCTTAATGATAGCATCTTCAATTAAGAGCATTCTGGATGCATCTGTATATCATACAGATACCAGCTTTTGTTAGTCTCTTCCTAATAACTTTGTCTCTGTGTGGTTCCCTCCCCCCTTCCTGTCACAGGTATGGAACACTAGTACCTGCGAATTTGTGCGCACCTTAAATGGCCACAAACGAGGCATTGCATGTCTGCAGTACAGAGACAGGCTAGTAGTGAGCGGCTCTTCAGATAATACTATCAGGTGAGAGACACACTCCCCATTGCAGAGTTCTGTGCCAGCACGTTGTCTCTGATTCCCTGGGATGTGCAGAGAGGTTAGGCAACTGAAGTGCTCTGTACCCTTGTCGTCTTTGAAAAATGCTTTCTTTGCTATAGAACATTGGGAACTACTGGAAGGAGATATTAGAAGCCTGTTTACTGTGTTATCTTTCATCCTCTGTATCTCAAGAGTCCCATACTAATCAACAAGTTACATTGCTCTGACAATTCTGGTGTATGAAAGAGCTGGCAAGTACCACTTTCTATGATGTCCTCTTGTGATATTTTAATTGGGCTATGTGTCTAGTTAAAGGGGTCAGATTTGCAGTAAGAGGCATTTAATCCTCTGCAGAAATCCTCCTGGGCTCTCGCCAAACTCCTCTTGTGGTACTTGGCACCTGGTTAAGTTTGGAACAGCTGGTTTAGAGGCTGAAGTTCAGTTTACTGCCTTTTGCACTTCTCCAGCTGCCTTGGTTCCAGTCTGAGATTTAACTCCTTCTGGTATCGTGAGTCAGGTTTTCTCCATACATACTCAGCTGCTAGCAGAGGGATCTATCACTAATCTCAGGGCCTAAGGAGCAAGCTTGAGTAGTAGTTGAAGTGATGGAAAGAAATGGCTCTGTTGTGCAAAGAGGAGTAAGAGCAGCCCCGCTTTTGTCTTTGTCATTGCTTTAAACAATTGTCTGCCTTCTGATAAAACCTGAAAACTGGACAGTTTAAGCAGAAACCCTTCACTTTGCATGTCAGTAATAAATTCTCCTCAGTGAGAATGATTCATGCTGTTGTTTGTCTGTAGACTTTGCTTACCTCTCCTGGCTTTGCATTCTATTGGAAAATGGTTGTCCTTTGGTTGACATCACCGGGTCATTATACCAGATTTTAGTATCGGGCTGTCTGAAAGCATGACCAAGAGAACTGGAACTTCTGTCTCTGAATCAAGGGAAGAGTATTACTGGCATCATGTAAGAGTAGCACCAGTTACCCGTGGTGAGAACTCCTGCACTTCAAATAGAAAATAACCCCTCTGCAATGTACTATGAAGCTTGGTACCAGTGTTAGAGTAAGAAATAGTTAAATGTTACAACAGTTAGGGAAGGATCGGAATTACGACTTGCAATGCTAATAAAAATAGATGTCAAGATAGTGATAACGCTAAAGAGGAATACAGTTACTTTTATGCTTACATTGGACAAAATCCCTAGTTGACAGATAAATTGTGCTAGAATTTCAGGAACGTTGGCAGTGAATCTTAATGAAAGTCTTTTTTTGGCTGCTGTGTGGGTAAGGCACAAGACTTACCTGGTCACATTGTTTTCTCCCAGCCATTAGCAGGGGGCACAAGTCAGTGGAAGGGTGATGAAGAAAGGGCAGGTTGCCAAGCCATCTTTGTGGGTGGCTTTGTGCTTTGTATGTTTGCTTTTAATCCACTATAAAATGCCAGATGTTGTGTGTTGGCCTTTAATAGAGGCTGCCTCCCGATACAGAATTTGAAGTTTGATGTTTCTCAGTTTCAGGGAAACTTCTTCTGAAAGGTAACTGATTTCTAGTTTTGCAGCTGAAAATACAAGGACACGTGAAGTGGCAGAGAAATCAGGATCTTCTGTAGAGAGATGTCGTATGTAAAAATGGTTTAGGTTTTGTTGTAGGCCAGATATTTCACCAGTGAAGGAGGACACAGCTACATAGGTATTGCTGTCATTATGGTGATTTCCATCTATTAGAAATCGGTTCATCAAGTTTAATCCAACCACTTCATTATCTTAGTCTTCAGGGTCAAAGTTCTTAATTGTTACAGACAAATATGGTATAGAAAAAAATAAGACAAAAAAGATAATTTATAACAAGAAAATAGACTCAGGCTGCATCATCTTGGGTTAATTTTTAATTGAGTGGTTGATTTGCATGTGTGTGTTCAACCTCCAGTGTCTGCACACATGGGATTCTGACACTAGACTGTTTAAACAACAGCATTCTCTCTGGGAGATGAGGATTCAGGCTCACCTGCGTTCCGTACATCTTCCAGCTCTGTGAGGTCTTCAGGTGAATTAAAGGCTTGCAGACTTCCAGAAATTCTCCCAAAGCTATAGGAAGGAAGAGTGGTGGTGGTTTTGACTGTGTGCACTTTGTAGTAAATTGTTTCAGTTAGTTCTTAAGCCTTAAGAGTGCTTCCCTTACTGTTTCATCCTTTGGCTATTTAAAGAAGTAGAAATTTGAGAAGGTTATCAAATCTGGAAGATGCCCTTGATACCAATTCTGTTAGGAGATTCTGCTCTTACATAGTAGTTACCTCTTTTGTACATGAAGGCTCATTCCCCACATGGCTAGGCACGTCATCATCTCAGCACATTCAGATTCAGGTAAAACCTCAAACTGGGACCTGAAAATACAGGCCTGAATTAGTGTGATGCAGCCTCCCAGAGCTGCTGGCAATCTCAGGATTAATGGCAAGGAGTGGAAACACATGGCACTAAAGTTCCTGGCACAAGATTGCTTTTCAAACCTTTCTGCACCAGTTCATTTCTGGCACTGTCTATCCTGTTCACAGTCCTTGGGAGACTTAATGCTCTCTGACCAGCCAGAGTGCCTTTGGCTGACCTTTGCCACAGAGTTGCTTGCTCTGACCTTGACTGGTGTGCTGGTTCTTATGTGAAAATTGTTAGGATCTTCATCTTTGTATTCCTGAAAGATCGATTTCACAGGTTGAAGAATCACCTGGTGCTCCTCATCGGCCTCAACTGTGTGCATAGACAAATTGTTTCTTAGTTCTGTAGTGGCGAAAGAGTTCTGTCCATTCCTTTGTTGTCCAAGTGAGAGCAGCTTGTCATGGCAGGACACCTGCAGTCATTATGTACCAACCTTGGGCACAAATCCACTGGATCTGGATTATTCTTTGGGGACCTCAGGAGTAAAATATGTGGGGACAGTGTTTCTGTTTCTTTCTATCTGTCTCTCAGGAAAATTGACCTGAATCCTCAGCAGTTGTGCTGCTTTGAGATGTGTCACCTAGAGATTCCACCTGTATTTCTCACTACTGTGAAGTTCAAGTCAGTCTGAATGCTAATTGAATGAGCATTTAAGAACATTTGTGCCTGCTTTCTTTTCAGCTGTGTGTCAGGGAGATGCAGCAGATACAGCTATTAAGATTCCTGTATGAGCAGAGCACATTTCAGCCACAGATGGACCACCTCTAGACAATGCATGTCAAAGAATTTCAGTTCTTGTAGGAAAATAACCTTTCTTTATCCATGGTAACTGGAAGTCATGTCAAAAAGCTGAGAGAAGCATGGAAAGCAAGTAGGCTAGCGTCGTAACTGTTTTAAGTACTTCTTTTGTTTTCTTTCTTCCAGGCTATGGGATATCGAGTGTGGGGCATGTTTACGAGTGTTGGAAGGCCATGAAGAGTTGGTGAGATGCATACGCTTTGACAACAAGAGGATAGTCAGTGGGGCATATGATGGGTGAGACCATCAATGCAGTTAATACCTTGCATCTTCCTGTCTGTCTCAGTGTCTCACACCCCACTTTGCTGTATCTTCCTTATAAATACTAGTCACTTTGTCTGTAAATCAGGACCATGTTCCAAAGCATACCTGTTTTCCTTCTTTTGCAATAAGTCAGTGTGTTTTGATGTGTGTGTCCAGTTCTTTACTTTGTAAGAATGTCTGACTGACACAGCCTGAAACCTCTTGTAGCTGAACCACTACTAAGAACAGTTTTTCCTATCTGTGGTTATATCTGCTGGACCATTTGCCATTACAGACTAGGTGTCTGCACTCCCACATGTTTCTGTTAGTTATTGCCACCTGCTTTTTATGGGTTTTACTTGTTGACAGTGTATTTTTTTTTTCCTCCCATTAAGCTCTATAAGCTTTACAAAGGGGAAATGCGAGAACCAGTTCTCAAGAGCAGAAGGATTGCTGTAATTTTCCTTGAACTGCTGTATTAGCTAAGATGTACTAACAGTTAATTTTTATTTTTCTTTTCTATGAGCACTTGCTCTTTTCTCTCTAACAAAGCTGTGGTTTTGTCTGTTTCTTCACTACTAGGAAAATTAAAGTATGGGATCTTGTGGCTGCTTTGGACCCCCGTGCTCCAGCAGGGACCCTCTGCTTGCGAACCCTTGTGGTAAGAGCTTTTGACAGGGGTGTTGGAGGGAGCAGGAAAGTGTGCTTGATCAGGGCTATCTTGAGCCATGAAAACTCAAGTCAGCTTAGCTTAGTCTGCAGGATCTAGAATTTTCTATTGGTCTGGCTTTTTTGTGTGTCCATGTTTTGGGGTTTTTTTTTAATGTTGCAAGCTATAAAGCATTAAAAGTTGGAACGTGTGGAATTGTCACTCACTTTTTAACAGTTTTGCTCTGTGATTTGAAGTTATTAGCTAAATTAATTTTCAAGACTTGTCCTTGAAATCTGTGTGCCAGTGGGTTTGCTTTAACCTGTGCGTACCCGATGCTGTGATAGTAAGTTGTCTGATCTGTTGACATGAAATTTCTTAAATATTTACATTCCAAATTTGAGCCACAAGAACAAAAACACCTTCGGAATTGCTTTTAACTGGCATTTGTATGTTTAAGGAAAAAAGCAGGTAAGGACTGGAACAGACAGTGAAACTGCCTCACCTTAATTACCTCATCCTTTAAAAGCAACTACCACTTTCATACTGTTCATGAGTATTTAGGGCAGGTCTGATGATGATGTGGTTAAAATGTCATTGTGCGAGTGTTAACAACTTTCACAGTCATGCTTAACAGTGGCTCTGCACTGGTCTTACAATAATGTGAGAAAGTTGTGAGGAAAATGCCAGTACAGCCAAGGCTATGGGATGGTTCCTGTAAGTATTCCTCCATCACAGTCACCCCAAAACACTTGCACTATCGCAGAGGATAAAGGAAGATTTCAATCCAGTACCAAGTTATCTTTGAAAGAAGTACTACATATATTTCTTTTTTAGCAAAGAAACGTTTGGGTCGGTATATATTAGACCTTTCCCTGCTGTGGCATGAGATTGCAGTCTGTGCTCTAAACCAAGATCATACCAAGGCCATCTCATTCTCTAGAAGTGTGGTTACCTCTCACCAGCTGAGCTGTGCTAACTGGCCTTCTGCACTCTCATCCACCACCTGAATTGCTACTGTTGTTGTAGCTTTCACATTTGGTGCAGAGTGTGAGAGTTACTGTGACTCACCTGACAGGCAGTAGAGCATTAAACCCTGCTAACTCTTTTCCAATCATGTATTTGAACCCTGAGCTGCAGAGTAAGAGTCTATGAGAGCCTAGGGTGCCTGCAGGTACTGTTCTGAAAAACCTGCTTGTTAGCCAAGTAGAACTACAAATTGTTTCATGGCTGAAATCCAGAAAAACCCTTTTGTCATCAGCCACCCAGTCCCAAACTGTGAAACTACTCTGTAACCATAAGCACATATCCTGAGACTCTAAGACTTCAGCTTGGTATTAGTAGTGTTCCTGCTCTAGCCTGAAACAAATGTGTGCCTAGTAACCTGTAGACTTAATTTAACTGGTGTGATTTCCTCTGCATTTTCCAGCAGTGGACAGCCAAAGTGCCCCAGCTAATTATATTATAAATCAGATGCGGTGGGATGGAAACACTGTAGGAATCTCAACACATAGATACTCATAAATCCCCATTTGATAGCAATGGAGGGGGCCAAAAGAGATGGGGGGGGAACAACAGAGGAAGCTGTTGTGGCACTTTTAGGAGTTTTAAGACAACAGGGTGTCCTTATACCCACTTACCCGTGGTTTGGTTTTGTGTTTTTTCTCTTCCCTTGGCCTCCAAAATTAAACCTGGCTGCACAATGAACATCATGAGTCTCCCGCTGCTCCTGTTCAATTTTCAAACAGTAGGAGGAAAGTGCACAGATAACAAATGCTCGCTGCATGCCAGGTCCCTTCCAGTTTTGTCTTCTGTTAGCTGGAACGGTGGCCACATGAATTTGTCAGAAGCTTTTGAGGCACAGAATAAGCACATAGTTCAGCTTTCCTTACAAGCTAATGAGTCCAGGTCCTTTTGGCCTTCACTTAGGGTGTGCACTGTGCTTACTGCTTCTGTAAAAGCAAAGGGCAGGTGTGTGCTACTTCTAGGGCAACAGTACATAGCCTACAGTGACTGGGAGAAAAAAGGGAGCTCTGGAAACAGTTTTTGGAAGTACCTCTCTCTGTGAGCAGTCCCTCAGTGGATCTGACTGTTGTAGTGATATTTTTTAGCAAAAAACTTCTTTATTTCACTTCTACAACACAGACTCTGGGAAAACATTTCTTTTTTGAATAGGTGGGAAGACAAGCCCCTGAGGTGTTCTTAAGACAAATTCAAAATATAGTTAAGAGATCAGAAAAGGTCCAAGGATTAGACCATTTTTTTAAATTTATCTTAAAAATAGAATCTGAATATTGCATGTGTGTATTTTCAGTCAATTTTAGGGATTAAGAGATTCACTTTAAAGCAGTTGTTATGCTTTGCAAACCAAGCTGCATTCTTGTAGTCCTGTATCATAGGACAGAGGCTTTTCATAGAATCAGGATAGTTAGGGTTGGAAAGGGCCTTAAGATCATCCAGTTCCAACCCTCCTGCCATGGGCAGGGACACCTCACACTAAACCATATCACCCAAGGCCTCGCCCAACCTGGCCTTGAACACTGCCAGGGATGGAGCATTCACAACCTCCCTGGGCAACCTATTCCAGTGCCTCACCTCCCTAACAGGAAAGAATTTCCTCCTTGTATCCAATCTAAACTTCCCCTGTTTAAGTTTGAACCCATTACCCCTTGTCCTATCACTACAGTCCCTAATAAAAGAGTCCCTCCCCAGCATCCCTATAGGCCGCTTCAGATACTGGAAGGCTGCTATGAAGGGGGCCTATAGGGATGCTGGGGAGGGACTTTGAGTAGCTAAGCATAATCTTTTGCCTAAATATTTGAGAAAACTGTATTTTCAGTATTGAAGTATTTTCAGACATGTTTTTTTCCCGACTCTAAGCCCCTCACAGTGTGTGAGCACTGAAGAGATTTTTGTATTAATGGAAGAGATAGGGCTCACCCTAGTTGTATGGTTTCTGTTCCCTTCTGACCAAGGAAGAGGCCGCTGCTCTTATAGCAGTGTAAACACCAAGAAAGACAGGCAATACAAAAGGGAAAGTACAGTGGATTTGCTCTGTGATATCCAGGATCTTACCGTTACCTCCTGTTAATTACAGTCTGAACTCTTGCCAAATTGTCATGCCATTTCCACTCAGCCTCAGAGCAGAATGCAAACTGCCTATAAAGTATGCCCTTTCTAGTTCATATTTTTAGAACTGCTTAAGAGGAATTATTACTGTGTCACCAGGCTTTACAACAGGCTTCTTAGTGTCCTCCAGTATTAAACCCTTTCCTTTATAGCAATGGCAGTGGTGCCAAATGCAAAGTTCTCATCTCTCCCCCTGTAACCTACTGCATTTGGAAATCTGTGATTTTGGGAAAGAGTTTCACCATGGAACAAGGAAGACAGTGTTCCTGTCAACCCCACCAGACTGAATTGTGTGGTGAAGGGAGCTTGGTTTGTTCTGCACAGTACATGCCCAGTGTTTAAGATTGAAGATTTAAGGAGTAATGGGTAATTGTGACTGTAAACTTCCTGTGAGCCAAGTACTCAGATACAGGAAATCCTTTTCACTGAAAGAGGACTTAATTTACACAATGTGATGCTGATGCACAGCGTGTCATGTGGGGTTTACTGAGAAATGCATGTAATGCTAGAATCCAAGGCCAAGTTCATCTTCCCTGATCCATCCCACGTGCCAGCAAATTTATAACATGCTGTGTCTCCCACTTGCATTTAGGAGCATTCTGGAAGAGTCTTTCGACTTCAGTTTGATGAGTTCCAGATCGTCAGCAGCTCACACGATGACACCATCCTCATCTGGGATTTTCTGAATGACCCAGCTGCCCAAGCAGAATCCACTCGTTCCCCGTCCAGAACGTACACCTACATCTCAAGATAAATAACACTACACAGTACCTCACACTTGCACAGGTAACAGAGGCTCAAAGGTGGCACTGGATGTAGTGCAAGCATGCTGCTTGAATAACTAGCTGAGTCTATCAATATTTCTCACCTTGGTTGGACAGTAATTACAGTGTCCTGTAAAAGAACAGGAATGATTCTGAAACCTTAGAGTAGGGACTTTATTTTAGGATTTGTGGCATGTGGCACCTGTGAGTTCGCCTGAAGAACCCCTCCTCCTCTGCCCATCATCATCAATAATTAAATCAGCTATCACTGCTATGCAGAAGGAAGAAGGGTTTCTGCAGAGCGAGTAGAGCAGCTGCTGCCTAACAAGGGGATGCAGATGGCATGACCCTGGGCAGTTGTCGCCAGGCAGGAGGGTTTTGTTAAGAAGCATCAGCTTTGTTCAGTCCCTCTGAAGTGGTGACCATTCTTCTCACTCTACGGCAAGCTGATTCATTAGAACAGTTTGGCTAGGGGAGGAGACACTGAGGCACAAGCCCAGGCAAATTTAATCGAGATGCATCAGTGTGCAAAATCATTTACTCATAGGGCCTACCCCTAGATCTCTCTAGCATAGCACGGCTATTAAATTGTTCATATCAGAGCTGCTGGTTTGCTCATCGCCTTACCCTTTTGTCTTGGCCTGCACAATGTGGGGAGGACATAATGTTTCATATTTTTGGGTCACTTTTAGAGTGGATTTGATTTATGTGAGTGGAGTGGGGTAGCATGATTTCCCACTATGGTGGGTACATGCACAATTGCTGTTAATAGCTTAAGAAAAATGGCAGAAAAGTTGACAGGCTTCTGCAAGGGGGTGTCCACAATGATGTTTTCCCTTGAAAATGCTCTGTCATGGGGCATATCCTGTGTCATGTTTGATTGGGAAATGTACAGTGATGCTCCAGAGCTGTCAGATCAGCTGTCTTGATTTTCTCACTCTGGTCAATCAGATGTTCTTTTAAATCATTAAAAGGTTTAGTGCGAATGGGCTTTGTTTGGTTTGTTCTGTTTTTCATTCCCAGGACTCATTTAAGCTGCAGTATTTAAATGCCAGGACAAAAGAACTATCCACGTAACCAATACTTGCTGAAGAGAGAGGCTCTCAGACTTGTTTCTGGAACAAAGTTGGCGTGCGGTTGATCTCAGACAGGGTCTACTCAGCGTGGCTGACTGCTAAAGTGCTGCTATATCAGAAGATGTCTTTTATCTTTCATGAACACTTAACATTTTTAAACCTTCCCATCCCTTTCTTCCCCCATCCTGCGCTTCCTGTTCACTCCTCTTCCCTTTACCCTGTTTGGTTCCCCTCCAAATCCAGTTACAGATGTCCTATGAATATATTTAAGATGTTGCCAGAATGTGTTGCTTTGCTGTTAAGCAGAAGACTTATAGCCACAATGCATCCTGCTGAGAAAGTCACTTCAGGGTGGGTGGGAGAGTGGGTGGGGAGAAGGCTGCTACTTTCAGACTGAAATCAATGTCCATTGCTATGCCTTTGAAAAAGCATTCAGCTTTGAAGAGCAACAAAAACACTCATAAGGAGCCAGACCACCCCCTCCCTCTTCACTTCCCTGCGGCTTTTGGCTGTTCTGACTGCAGACCTATTTTTTGTGGAGAGAGGACCCTTGAAATTTGACTATTATGAGCCAAATCCATCTCTTTTCTCTCCTGCCTGCTATGCTAACCCTTTGGAAGCTGGATGTGTATCATAGCCTCCCTTAACATCTGCTTGGCTGGGGAATGCTAGTCAATGAAAAGTTAAACTCTCTTCTGCTGAAGTCCCAAGCATGATGGACTGGGTCTGAGAACCCATCCACTCCCACCCCAGATGAAGTGTTGGCCCAAGGCAGTATTTCATTAGTAAAGGGGTTGTCTGCAGCATCTTCCTCTTGTGCTTCTCCTTAAAGACAGTGTGTTGCTGGTGACTTAGGAATCATTCTGTAAACTGAAGGAAGTTTGAGGCTGGGATGAGGGGGAAAGCTGGACATTGCACCTTTCTTTCTATTCTTTCTCCCCTTAGAGAGGCTTTAGCTGGGTATTGGAAGAAGGAGCTGCTAAACACCTTTCGAGCTCTCAAGATCTAGCCAACATAGAGTCGAGATACTACCCAAACCCCCTCGCCATGACAATAAGACTTTGCTCACATGAATGAGCAAGTGCACATTCAGTACAGTCGGTACAGTTAGCTGACTTCAGGCCACTTCTGCAGCATTTCTGGAGCAGGCCTTGATAGAAAGCCTTCGATGTGCTTCTCTAACCTACATGCATACTGCCTTGCAGTCTAGGGACACAACCTGATTAGTCACTTTACTGATAGGTGAGCTGGATCTTTGCTTTCTGGATGAGACTTTTGCAAATTGCCATTGCTTAGAAGATAAAAATAGCCCTAAAAAGGAGGGACATGACAAACAATTCTGTGTGTCTCTAAACTAGACAAAGAGGTCTGGGGGAAAACAGCTCTTTTTACAGAACTGAAGGAAATGCAGCAGGCCTGCATTTAGATCAGGAAAGACTTGTAAATCAGTCTCTCATTCCAGATTTGGGCCCACATCTTCCACTGTAGGTTTTGAATAACCCCCACTGCCTTAGTAGGGGGTTGTTCCAATACCACAGTAGGAATTTGGGGCATTTCATTTTGGTCTGGAAGGGTTTTAAACAGGCATTCTTAAACCCTCTAAACTTGGAACTTAGAAGGTTTTTTCAAGCTCTTCTCATCCAGTTCACTTTGCTGGGGGAGCAGTTGCATTGCTTCTAATTGCTTTTTCCACCAATCAAATTTTGCAAGGAACTGGGCCAGGAGTTCCCAAAGAGCAGTCCAGAGGGGTTAAGTCATTTTGGTGACAGCTAGGACAAACAAGAAGGCAATGGAGTTAGAGAGGAAGGGAAAGCTAGTGCCTGGGGAGTACCTATTGCAGTTTCTGACGCATGTGGGCAACAGTGCTGAGCATTCAGCTTCCTGGATTTTTTGTTGAGCCCAGAGCCTACATCAGTTCTGAAAAGAGTCTTGGAGCATGTGGTGACACTCCTGGTTTCTGTTTGAACAATTACTGTAAAAGGGTCAGACAGGTTTACAACTTGGCTCTGTTGAGGTAACAGTGACAGTGTGACTTACTGCTGCAGTTATAGAAGTTCTGAGCCACAGTGCTGAGTTCATCCAGAATTAATTTTAGCACTACATTTAAGTCTAGAAAGGCTGTTTTGGATTTTGGGCATCTCTACATGTCAAACAGAGTGCAGTCCCAAAGCCAAAGTGGCAAGGGAGCAGAGAGAATCAAAGTTTACATCCCAGACTTTGCTGACTTGAAGTTCTGAGTCTTAATTTTATGTGAACAGTGTTCCTCTAAGTTCATTTGTTACAGGGTCTGCAGCATGGTTGCGTATCAGCAGGAGTTTGTATGACCTTGGCTGCAGATTTAATCAGTTTTCCTCAGTTTGGTCATCCTCTGTCTTTTACATATAGGTTACGGGGATCTTAAGCCAGCCTCTGAAGGCTGGAGAACTTCCTAATATTTTAATTGCATCCTGTGGCCAGTACCTACAAGGATGCATTCTATTTTGCTAGTTTAGAGAATCTGAAGAAGCAAAGACTGGCTGGCTAAACACAGAGACAACACCGCAGCAGACTGTCCTTGGTTGTCTTAGTCCTGCTGCTTTATGCTGGTATTCTGTAATTTCTAAGCACTGTTGGGTCTTCCAGGTGGTACTGTAGTTTGAACTCTGCTGTATAGAGCTGTTCAAGGTACAATCAGCAACAGCTGAAATCCATTTTAGGCACATGGTAAGAATAGCATCTTGCCTTCAAGAAGAGGCTGTGTCTGGGTACTTCATCAGAACTGCAGGAGCGTGAGGATTCCTACCCCACTCCCCGAGTTGTACAGATTTTCTGATAGCTAAGAAGGAAAGTGAAGTTAACTGATCTAACTTGAACTTGAAACTGCCACAGCCTGACATTTGGTGGTGTTTATTGTGCACCCAGGGAGGAGCAATCTGGTAAGTAGATCTCCCAGTGTCAGAGGAAAGTGGCTTTTTCAGACTCCCCTTACCTCCCTTAAGATATGTGTGTGTGCGTGTGTGAGTGTGCAAGAGTGCATGTAAGAAAGAGGTTTCGGCATGAACTGGATGGATAATCTCTCAGCCAGGTTGGAGTAATTGCAGAGTTTATAATGAACTAGGACATGCTTGCTGAAAGGAGATTAAAAAGGGCTGGAAGTGTCTGTGGGCTTTAAGTGTTGCACATCGCTTTGAAATGAAATGAGATACCTCTGCTGGGTAGAGATCGTCACTTCTCTCACAAACAGGAAGCTCACGCTAGCTCTCCTCCTTCAACTATGGGTTGGAAAATACTGGAGGTGTGAGGCATTCAGAGCAGGGCAATCCATTATGGCCACACTATCTCCTGCTTATGACTCCTTTGCAATAGGGCACAGTATTGCTACAAATATTTCTCTTCCTCAGAGGAATACAGCTTGCTTTAAAATATGCAAATAGAAAATGGCATTGAAGGAATTTGCATCAAGATAGTTTTCTGCAGCTGTCTCCTCTGGAGCAGCTCCCTCTGCTCCCCGTTAATGTTCAGGGACAGACACATCCGCTGTTGGAACGGAAGGATTCAAGTGATAAAGTTGAGAAGTCTGATCATTGGAAATGTTGAAATGCTTTACACTTGTTTCTAAACTGGAAGCTGGCTTGGACCACCATGCCCTACCTACCCGCCTCCTGCTCCAAAGGATCCTTTTTTCTTTTTCTTCCTTTTTTTTTGAACACTGAAAAAGCTGGAGAGTTTCGTGTGCATTTCTCCACTCCCAGGTATGTGCTTCCTGCCACTGCCACATGTTCCTTTCTCAGTCTGAGCAGAGCTCCAGGCTTGGTTCTCAGGATATTTTTGGCATCCCAGCTCCAAAGGGAAGCACATCACCAGGCTGAGCTCTATCCCTAACTTTATTAGCTTCCTTTTAACTCCATTTTAGATCTGCCTTTTGTGGCTGATGATTCCTAAATTCACTTGAGGGAGGCATATTTGTGTTTGATAAATCACAAATAGCAGCTTTTCCTAGCTAGAGAAGTGGACAAGAAGGAGCAGCCAGCCTTCCTACTGCAAGTGTGCTCTTAATTGTGGGAGGAAAAGGAGGAGACAACCCAAAAGGTTGAAAGCTAGGACAGGGTGTGGGGATGGAGATGGATCTCCACAGAAGTGGGGGCAATGCTGAGAATAGGTCTCTCAGCCAGTGTAGTTGACGCGGAAGAATAGAAGTTTTCTATGAGTGCAACACAAGTCATGAGAAGGTAGTCAAGTAAGGCCTCCAACTGTTGAACTTGTCAGTTGCTCTTAGGTTACGCTGGGGGAGAAAGGGATGGTCTAAACTACACTTGCCAAGAGAAGAATGAACTTTGCCAGGGTCTCCAAGTGGCATGCATGATGCATCTGACATGCTGAGCCTTGCCCTACTGTTGTTCCCCCTGAAGCAATAAACAGCAGCTTCCCAGAAGGAGGGGGGAAGAGCAAGTGACCCAGCTGTCCCCAAAGGAGGTCTCCATATGAAATCCCTCCATCTTTCTGCTGGCAAATCCCTAGTGGATTAATTGGCATGAGTCTTTTTGTCCCCACTTTGAATTCAGAGACTCACAGATGCAGCAGGTCCCTTGAGTGGGTTCTTTCCCCACAGCCCCAGCAGTGGGTTGAGAGGAATGGCTGCCTGCTGAGGCTGAACATTTGCCTTTCCCTCCTTTCCCCGTCACCCCATTTTCTTTTTAAATGAGGTATAGCCAAACTACTGGCAAATTCCCAGTGTCTCTGCCAGGGTGAGCCTTAGCATGCTGCCAGGATAAGTCATCCTCTGTCTTGTCAGAAAACTCTTATGACTTTGTGTTTCCACATTTGTTGTCCAACAGATACTGCATGGGAGTTAGCAACACTGGTTAATCCTTAGCGATGTTAACCTGACTGATGTTAATCAGAGGGATGCTGGTGTATGTAGATGTACAACAAGCGCTTTAGGTATTGTAGCCAACTCTGAAATAGGTCCTTTTTTTCAATAGCCTATCACCCTAAATGGTATCTTAATTTCTGCTCAAGCAGGAGCCAAGTATGGCTGTGGCCAGAAAATCAGTGTGAAATGCCAGTCTTCATCACAGAGCAGCTCTGCTCATACCTGTATCATGAATAATAATTTGTTGCCTTTACAGGCAGTGTTTTTTATCTGCTCACACTCAAGCATTGTTTTTAGTCTGAGCAAAGCTTCACATGCAGGAGGAAGGCAGTGCAGGCTGTCCTGGGCTGTTTGCAGGGACCTTTATGAGGAGCTAGCTGTGAGAAGTTTGAGACAACTCAATGTGAAAATATGGAGCTGCTTTTGAGCGT